TGAGAAAGCAATTGTCCAGGTCTTTGCTTCACTGGGCTGTGCCTTTCCTTGACAGTAGAGAATTTCCAACACAGAGAGCAAGTGTGCTACCAGGGTTTCTAGGATAATTTGACTTACCATAATCTTCTGTCTTCCCCATCTCCTACATGATTCCATACTAATGACTTTACCATGTTTTTCTTTCTTTTTTTTTTCTGATTCAGGAAGATGTTTTGATTAGCAATTCAACCAAGCACGAGGTTATTGCAAACTCAAGATAGATGAAAAGTTTCCCAGAGATGCTGAATAATGTCCAGAGAATATGCTGTCCAATTCCACATGCATTCAAATATGACCAAGTGCAGTGCTCTGAAGACCAGAGCGGCAGGAGTTAACCTTGAGCAAAACCCTAGTTGTATACTTTGGGCTCTGTAAGCCTGGAGAACTGCTCAGTGTCTTGAATTTCAATTTCTAGAGTAGCGTGGATAATTTTCCTCCTTATAGGACTGCTGTGGGAATTAGTAAGATGAAGGTCCTTGTACCATGCCTGGCATGCAGAAGTAACTCAGTAGTCAGAATCCAAACGCATTTGAGGGTGCATATGAAGCTTTGTGCAGCTCATCTGGGATCTTAGCTGCTGACATACAGTAAAGACCCAGTAGGTTTTGTTGAGTAAACACAATTGTGAGTTTCCTCTTCTGTCCTGACCTCTTCCTCTCACTCCCATGCCTTTTTCCATCACAATGGAACTTACTGGAGCTTGAAGAAAGAATAAAAATGACTGTGTCAAAATTGACTATGACAAGGCTAAAAATGAAACCAAGAAGAGCCAGACCTCCAAGGAAGTTTACAAATCAGGACCAGGATGAGGATGAACTAGGAGCATAGGAATTCCACATATGTCTCCCTCCAGGGGCTGCCTGTGCTGGGCAGTACAATAACTTGAGCTCAGACAAGCTAAAACCTGAAAGCTTCTTTAAAGTTGTAGCAAGAGCTTAGTGGGCGTGCAAGTTCACCTTGATAGATGAAGTGAGGACTGGACCACTCTAAGGTATGGTTAAGGGGAAGGTTTTTATTGTAGATATGAGGGAGAGCCAGAGGCACCTGGAAGAGTACAGAACAAAAAGACCAGGAGACTAAACTGGACCATGAGAGAAGAGGGGGAGGGGCAAGAGAGGAGGAGAAGAGAGGAAGGCAAAAGAGAGGAGGCAAATGGAGGGGGCGAAGGGAGCACATAGTCAAAGTGTCAAGGTTATATAGGAATGAGAAGCTGAGCGAAGGGAAGCCCACGAGCTGGAGAAGTTTAGGGTAGAGGACAGGATGAGAAGAGCTAAGAGCCATGGACACCCAGCTGGCCTGGAGGCCAGCATGTGCTTTGATTTGCTAATAGGCACCATAGAGAGGCAATTGTCCCGAGTTTATTTTGGACCTGATACCAGATGCTTGTTTATTTGTTATATCCCCTCATCTGCCCTTCTTTCTACCTCCAGCATCTCTCTCTATTCAGACTCTGGGAACAGAGAAGTCAGGAAGTTGTTTCTTTGCATTTGAAGACTAGCAGCAACAATAACGTTCATACCCATCAGTAAAACCACTGTGTTACTCTTATTTAAATGTGTACAAACTAAACAGATAAGTTTTGTGTATCAATTCAAGGAAGCAAAGGGTCTGTACATCAGCATGTGGGTGGCAGAGAGTGTTCATCACTAACGTCTCAGTTGATAGCCTTAATGATCCTTTTCTTTTGTAACCTTCATGGTGTTACAACTTCTTACCAAGTACCTTCCATTAAAGGAAACATTCTAAGCCTTCTGCTTGTCATTAATAATTTAAAAATCATGTTGTTGGTTAGCATGTAGAGAAATGGGTTTCACAGTAACATTTTCATACATATATACGGTCATGCTCCCCATCTTCCCTAGCTCCCTTGCTGGTCCTCTTGTCCCAAGGAGCTGTTCAACTTCTGCTTCTGTAATACCTGTATTTCATTACCTCCCCCCCCTTCTTTCTTACTTTTACTCTTCTTCCTCCCCTTCCAAGGTCCCCTTCTACTTCCTGTAGATTACAGATAGGTAATAGGTAGGTAGGTGTAGCTGGGTGATAGATTGATTCTGCATATGAAAGGAAACATTCAATAATTGGCTCTCCAAGTGTCCTGTCCTCCTTCAAAACCCTCAGCCCACCAACTCACCCCTGTAGGAGAGGAGGAGGTGTATTTTCATCCCCACAGACTCTAGCTGAAGACTGAAAAGTCAACCTAAAATGGATGGATTTTTCCCTAAGATCATTTGCATGTTGGTGTTGGCAGGAGTGCCAGCACAGCAAGAGAGGAGGGTTTGTGCCCGGTGGTGGCTTTCACACCCCGTGTGTCGACAAGGCAAATACTGAGAATGTTTCTGCAGTGTCTCAGGTTCTTGTCCACAATGGGCCGGCAGTTTGCTCTGTGGTCACAGCAGCTTACCAGGCTTCAACGCGTGTCTTTGGTGTAGTCTCCTTTCTCGCGCAGAGTCTCTGACCTGTGGTGGTTTCCCTCCAACGCTGAGCACAGACCACTGTGTATGTGGCAGGGGAAGAAAACCCTTGGTTTCTTTTCACACCTCCTCCTGCTGTCTTCGCTGACACTAAATCAGAGATTTTTTCTGCTTTCATTTTGTGCCTTTTTGATTCTGCAAGCATTCATTCTCCGGCTTTGAAAAATAAGTTTTACCTTTACCTTTCCTTTCCTGCTTCCTAGTATCCTAACTGTCCAAGCTTAGCAGCCACATCTCTAGAAACAGGTTCTGATTCAGGCACCAGAACTAGAATGGTAGGGCCAATAGGACCTGGGTCATATGAGGCACAGGAAAACCCCAGGATACAAGAGCCCCGAATGTGGTTTAAGCAAAAGAGACAAATGACTATATTTGGTACATAAAATATAGAACAGATGTTGAGGCCACAGAAAAACCTCAAAAAGAAGTTATGGCCAAAGCCAGAGTTCAAAGCAGGAGCGTAGAGCACAATTGTAGAGGTGACTTAGCTAAGAAAGGCCTTTCAGCCACCAGCATTGCTACCGTTGCTGATGTCTGCCACACAGCAACTAGCCTTGCTACCATGCTCGATATGCACCACACAGCAACTAGCCTTGCTTCAGTTCCTTGATATCTATCATGCAATTGATGCTCTGCTTGATGCACTACAAACACCACAGCTCAGTTGCACTTGGACCCTATGGTCCCCATGGTCCCCAAGGTGTAGCAGCAAGTGAGCTCAGAACTGGATGCTTTGTTTCACATGCATCCCTGCTTCTATGATGACGAGCCATGCTTTCTCAAGGCTCTGACATTGGGTAGGTTTTTCATGTTCTGGGTTTGGCTGACACTTTCTAGAGGAGATGATCCAAAGGTAATGTGAGGTTTGGTTATAATTATGCTTCAGCGTGCTTGCATGTTACAAGGCAGGCAAGAAGGAAGCACAGACAAGGAAAAGGAGCAACTAGATGACAGTAGAGGCTTTTATTCAGGACAAAGACCTGCAGAAGGGGGCTCCGGTTTGGGAGTCAGAGCCCAATGTCAGCCTACAGCACAGAGTAGAAACATAACAGAAAGAGACTGGTGTGAAGGAAATTGAATTTTTTCTTTCTTTTCTTTTCTTTTTCTTTTTCTTTTTTTTTTTTAACCACAGACGGCCATTGCTAGGGATACCTAGTGAGTGGTAAGTTAAAGAATGTTAGATAGTTCATAGATCTTCTTACTGACTAATACTGGGGTGAGGAGTGGATCAGTGGGACAGGGAAAGCAAGAATGGAGAGAAACCGGTTACTTAAATTCTGGAAATGAGGGGTCTTATTAAAGAGGAGAAACTTTACAAAATAATGTGGCTCTATTTGACACTTACCATAACTACTGCACTAGTCTGTATAGACACAGGCCATATTCTATGAATGCAGAAAGTTCTGTTCAGTAGAACTGTCAGGAAATGGCTTATAGCCTTTAGAAGTCTTTGCTTTCATTAGAGCACTGAGACTTTTATTCTTTTATTTCTTCGTTTTTGTTTGTTTTTCTGAGATAGGGTCTCTCTACAAAGCCCTCACTATCCAGGGTGGTGAAGATGGACACTTAAAAAAAATCCCACACTAGCTCAGAATTGAGACTAATAGAGGATTATTTATTTAGGGTAGACTCAAAAATCAACATCCTATGCTGGAACAGAAAATAGCAACTGGATCCCGTAGCTGGAAAAAAGGCCAGACACGCACTTTACATCACTTTACATTGGCATAAATAGTATAAGAGGCCACGCCCAAGTGGGCAGGTAACTTAGGTTGCTGGCAGTAGGAATTCCTACAGCAGGCTGGCCTTGAACACACAGAGTTCTCTGCCTCCCAAGTGTAATGGGATGATAGAAAAGGCCTTGGTTTGGGATTTAAAATGGACTCAGATCTCTGTGTCTTACACTGAACCAACTGAGAAAATTCGGCCAGGAATCAATTTCTCAATAAAGAAGATGATAGTAACAGTGCTTCACAGGGGTCCATTGAGTGGGTCTATGTAATATAGCTAATTCCATGGTCTGAACACAGAACTCAATATTCTTCATGTGGTAGTCTGTTCACTGTAAAAAAAAAAAAAAAAAAAAAAAAAACAGTGTGTGGCAGAATGAAGGATTATTGTGGCTAAATAATTAACCAGTTAGATCAGAGCTGTTCTTTGTTATATAAATGCCAATTCACTCAGTCCTCAAAGAACCCTGTTACATAGGGGATATTATTATTATTTTCATTAGTAGAGGAGAAAATTAAGATAGATCAAGAACCGAGTCTCTGTTAATGTTAATTTCTCAATGGTTTTTTCAAATAGCTCTCAAATGTCAGTGTTTTAACACAGGAAAAAGTATCTCTTTTTAAAAGACAGAGGCTAGCAGATGTTCAGTACAAAACCACTGTGCAGCTCTTAAGAACTCCAGGAACCTTCTACCCAGAGTCTCAGCCAACTCTGGGGTTCTCAGAGTTCTCTTGTGGACATTTTGTATCTAGGCAGCAGGCTGAGGGAGGCCTGGAAGCAGCATTTCTCAACTTCAGGTCTCCTGATGACTAATTTTATATGTCAACTCGACTGGGATAAAGGACTCTCAAACAACTGGTAAAACTATGTCTGGGTGTGTCAGGGAGAATGTTCCTGGGAAAGATTAGCACTTGAATTTGTAGGCCGAGTGAAGAAGATCCACCCTGCACAGTGTGGGTGGTCTTCATACAACCACCCAAATAGGGCCCCCAATACAGCTGAGGGCCCAATGAGGACAACCTGGTAGAGATGCCAATTCACTCTCTCCCCCCCCCCCCCCTCTCTCCTCTTTTGCTCTCTTCCCCTTCCCTCCTTGAGTTGAGCCACCCACCTCCTGCTGCCTGCTCCCCTTTCTTGCTCTCAGGGTTTCAGCACCTCTCTGGTTTCCAGGTCTTCAGAGCTGGACTGAATCATGCTGAGAACCCATGAAGCATCTAGCATTGGTGAGACTTCTCAGTCTAGAGCTAAGGAGGCCCATCCCTTTTAAATTTCCTCTTCCATGCATCTAGCTAGTCATATCTGATGGGAGCTCTATTTCTATGGAGAAATTTGACTAATATTTATATTTTGGGTGGAATCATTCTTTATCTTTACTACCAGTAATCCTGGTCTCCACTCTAGATGCCAGTAGCCATCTCCCAGTTGTGATAGTCATGATGTTCTAGGGATGGTAAGTGGGGGATGAATACCAAGACTGCCCTACATATAAGAACATTCTTTGAAATGAAGACTTCAAGGGTCATAGAGTCTAGTATAAAGAGTGGTCAGATAACTATACCCTAACTTTATCGGCCAGAACTCAATGAAACAGTCACACTTAACTAACCGCAAAGGGGCAGGAAAATGCTATCCAGTCATGTGTCCAGGAAGAAAAGGAGGTCTGAGAAGAGGAGCTTGGCAGTGTGGAATCTAAGTGTTATAGATGCTCTCCTCCCACCCCACCCTTGCCCCCAAAAGAATCACACTAAAAACTTCAGAAAATCTGGCAGAAATATGCAGGCTATTCTACACTGTTGGGAGACAGAAACACATCATTCTAATAATTTTTTTCACAACTTTTTGACTAACTCACTCTATACAGGCTCTCCTAAAGTAAGATATTGATGCTATCCACTGTTAGATGCCATGGTCCCAGGTGGAGAGATTTGCTAGCCAAGAGCCAGAAGCATTCAAACTGTTGCAAGGACCTATGAGAATGCTGAATACCTGTAGGGTGCGCATGAAACCAGAATGAGTGAGTGTTCAACAAACGCATTCCAAAAAGATGAACATTTATGGTATGTGTGGCCCAGAGTGCAAAAGTGACCAAAATACATTTTTGGAGAAGTATCAAATCTGCAAACATGTGTCTGCGTTGAAGGAGAGTCACACCCAGAAAAAGTACAGGATGGGGAGTTGCCATCCATTTACTGTTTATAGTTTCCCAGACAACTCCTAGGTTAGTGCAAAGGCATTTGTCTAATAAACGACGCTGTCTAGCCTCTCACTGGAAGCGTGAGGCCTTTTGTGTTTGAAAATGCATGAGGTCATACCCAGTTTGCACACTTTTTAATGGTCTTCTAAGTTGGCTCCCATGAGTGCATTCAAACCTTTTAAAGATGTCTCCTGTTCTGTGGTAAAAGGCAGAAGGCTTCTTGAAGCCTGTTTGTCTTGTGTGTTTTATTATATGGTGTGAGGGAAAGTGTTTCTCTGACATTTTTCTCCTGTATGCAATCACATTGCAGAGGATGGAAACTGCTCAAGTTTCCACCAGCTGGCACCAAATCAACCTCCTGGAGCCAAGGCTGGCTCCCCTTGCCCCTACAATTGGCCCAACCGCATCCAACTCCTACCCCAATTAAAAGAGAAGACCATTTCATCTCAGTGCCAATAAAAATAAATCAAATCTAGCCTAGATAGTCAATGCGAAAGAAAATGGTTGGTCCAATAAATACCAAGAATGATCCATAATATATTAAAGTTACTGAGAGCCTGAGTATGTCTTACTAAAATTAACTATTCCATTTCTTTGAAACACAGACAGAAATAAAAAAAATGAAAATAAAAATAAAAATAGAAAAATGAGGGAAAGAATCAAGTTCTTCTCAAAGAAAAGTCAGGCATGGGGGCACATCTCCATTACCCCAAGATTTCTGAGGCTGAGGTGGAAGCCAGTCTGGGCTCTATAGTGAGAACTCATCTTAATATATAATTTTGCTAAATGAATTAATTAAAAGATATTTTGATCTATCTCAATGAGAGGAAAAATTCATTTTCAGCTCTACATAACAGATCTCAGAGACATTTTCCAGAGAATGGAAAAAAAACAGTCAGAACATAATATCAATCAATGCAATAACTAGAGGCAATGGCCTTTTTTAAAATGCATTTTTAATTGAAATAGAATTATATCACTTTCCTCCTTCCCTTTCCTCTCTCTAGCCAATCACAGAACCCTTCTCAAGCCCCCTCAAGGTTGCTAGTCTCTTTTCATCATTATTATTGTCACATATAGATATATGAATGTATGTATATGCACAAGTTATAAAGATGCACGCACACACATCCTGCTGAGTCCTGTTGTTTTTGTGTACATATACGGTTACCAGGATGATGGCTGTGCTGGACAACCAATAAGGAAGGGGTTTCATCACTGAGATGCTAATTATGTAATTCCAAGGAATCATTATTTGCATGAAAAAAGAAATAAAAAGGAAAAAAAAAAGGAAATATGACTGCTCCTAGGTATGGTGGAGAAGGTTTACAGCAGATAAATTGGAGAACACAGCCAGGGGCAGGTACCTCTGAGAAAGTCCAGAGTGGTCATGACCATACTGATACTGAGCTGGGCTCTGTGGGGAGAGAGGAAGAAAGGGAATCAGGTGCAGCAGCCAGAAGACCCCAACTACAAAGAAAGTTGGTAACTAAAATGGTTGGATTACATAGGGAAAAGCAGCCCAGATCCTGGGTTGGAGAGTAGGGTGGGGGCAGGGTATGCCATTCAGGAGAACCTTGTAGCAGCTAGGGGCTGAGGGAGAACCTGGTGGCCAGGTCAGCTATCTGTTAAACAGGCACCTCAGCCAGCATTTGAAACCCCACACTGAGAGTGTCTTTGTCTATTGGTGGGAGCCCTCAATATTTCCCCACTTGCACAGTAGTATGTCCACGGATATTGCCATTTTTCTGCTCTTGTTTATTCTGTGATTTCTAGGGCAGACTTTTTCACAGAGGACCTCCTGGTATCCTGGCCCTTCCACTCTTTTCTCCTGCCTCTCTTGAGATGTTCCCTGAGCCATGGACACAGGCGCTGTGAGGTAGATGTAACCCCTGGGGCTAGGCTCTCCATGGTCTTCGGAGGTCTTGTGTCCAGTTGCGGTTTTCTGTAACGTCTCCATTTGCTGTAAGGCTTCTTTGACAAGGGATGGTAGCTATACTCATCTGTATGTTTAAGGATAAGATTTAGGATGTGGAAAAGAACTATGCTGCTTGAGCAAAAGTGGTAATAGTAGATTGTTTTCTAAGCCCCATGACCTCCTTAGCCCCGGGAAGCTAGCTAGATTTCCAGTACCAGGAATCATTTCCCTCCTGCTCAGTGGGTCTGAAATCCAATTAGACAGCTGTTGGTAGCCACCAGCATGTAAGTGCCAATGATGGCGATTTTGTGTATATCTTGCCTTTGGTAATTGTCATAGTTCCCCTCCCTTGGCAGCTGAGGCAATGGCTTTTCTCTAGTGTTTCAACAAGAAATAGATTAGCGATCACGGCTAGTTAATCAAGGTGCCCATATGAATGTCAACTTACCAAATATTTATTTAGAAATGTCGTATGCAAATTACTTTGCTAAAATGGCAAATAAGGGTGAGAAAACACAAAATGTATCCCCAGCAAACTTGGGATATATTAGGTAAGTGAGGAAAATGAGACATTTGGGGGAAATGGGAAGTGGAGAGGAAGGAGGGAAGGAGGAAGGAGAAGAAGAGGATGGGAGGAAATGAAAAGGGAAGTGAGGGGAAGAGTAGAGAAGGGCAGGGAAGGAGAGAGACTAAAGATTTGAAACACACTATTAAGTTATAAAATATGGAGCAAAACCAACAGTTTAAAGAGTTCAAAAATTTGGAGGTTGGTGATGGCTCAGTGGGTAACGGCATCTGCCGCTGAGATGGACAGCCTGAGATGGATCCCCAGTACCCATGTGGTGGAAAGAGAGAACTGACTCCCACAAGTCTTCTGATCTCCATATGTGCATACACACCTCCATACACTACACACTACACACACACACACATGTAGACACACACACACGTAGACACACACACAAATAATAAACACACAAACAAGCAAACACACATAAATAAATAGCTAAATAAATAAATGTAAAGAAAGCTAAGTACAAAATCTGAGGGCTGGAGAGATGATTCAACAGTTAACAGTGCTTCTTGCTCTTCCGGGAAACCTGTGTTAAGCATCACACAACGGTTTGTAACTCCAGCTCCAAGGGATCTGACACCCTCTTCTGGTCTCTAAGGATATCCTCCCCTCCACCCACGCATGCACGCACACACAAATAAACAGAACATACAAACAGAAGATCTGGAGAGGAATGTATTAAGGCTGTCAAAATTAAGTCTACCATTATTGTGACTTATGATGCAATGGCAAATTTAGAACCCTAAGTGAGAGAAAACATAAGGCTTTATAATTTTTATTATTCATCTAATCTGGTGCCAAACCAGCCCCAACAAATGTCTTCTCTCAGCCCAGAAGTGAGGCGTTTTCCTCTCCCAAAGTCCTCAGCCCAGACTTGACATTGCTCTCAGGTCCAAGGCTGCCAACAAAGCAGCCTCACTCTGTAGCAAATCTCCATCCAATCACTTAATCACTCTCCTCTGTTGAATTTGGAATACTGTAAGGAGGTTGTTTTTTCCCCTTGTTTCAGAGACACAAACAAACAAAACCTTGAGCAGACAAAATGAACCTGAGAAAGGGGTTGGTTTAGCCAGCCCCTCCCCTCCATTGTCCAGATGCTCCTGATTAAGGCCCAGCTTTCCCCTGTGGTTTCGCCTTGCCTGTGGGTGCGGCTAGAGAGAACCAAGTGCAGAGCTGACAGCAGCCACTAAAGACTATACCACTACTTACAAATTAAACAAGCAAGCTGATAGCCAAGAGAAAAAAGCCCTATGTGAAGAAATGGAATTGGCCAGATTTCATAGTCTCATATGCCTTGTGGATTTATGTACTCATTGATAAGTGTACTTTCCAAATCTGTGTGATGTCCCCCATGGACACATTTAGAATACTATAACTGTTATCATGCTATGCATATTTCATCTGCTATCTTGTTTCTTTTGTTTCACTATCATCTACAGCTTCATCCATATACAAGGCAGTGTCTATGTCCGTGTTGGTCCTAACTACTGTGTTTTGCTCTCATTGAGACAGGCACCCCAAAGCCACATTTCTGGGTGCTGACACACACATAATAAACGTGACCAAGAACTGTCACTTTCCTCTCCAGTGTGTCAGAACAGGCCACACTTCTTTTAGCCCTCTGTTTCACACCATAAACCTCATCCTTTTGTTTTCAGAATGATTTTCACAAAATCCCTGTTACCACCGACGTTTAAGTCAAGTTCTATTCTTGTGCACCCACCTCTCTGTGAAGGAACAGACAGTAAGAAGGGCCATAAATTATGTGCTTGCTTCTTCCTTCCCTGATATGTTCTTATTGGAACAAGAGCTTCCTTTCTCTATAGTAATTTCTCCCGATGTTGTACCTGTTACTCACTAGACTTATCTTAGAGCTTTATCTTTGTGTGTAGCCCCTCTTGTTCTCTTTCATGTGTCTGATTAAACCCCTTTTGAGCAGGTTTAGAGTTCTTCTGTCAAGCATAGTTTATTGTCATGGGCTGCTCTTTCTCCCTTGCCCTAGTTTTGATGTTCAGGCATGGAAGTCTTGGTCTGAAACACTCTCAAACCATTTCTGTAGCCAATGGTTCACTTCCCTCTCCCCCTTTTTCTTCCAAAAAGCTTCAACTTATAGCCTATCTTCAAATCCATCAGCAATGCTCTCCAGATTTCTTTGGCTGGTGTATTATTAATTCCCAAAGAGATCAGCAAAACAGCCAGTAGTTAGTGGGTTTGAGGAGAGTCAGTTGCTGCTACTTTTTAGAAGATTTCATCATCCTTTCCTCTGAGTCACTGTCTCTACACATTAATAATTTGACATTGGCTTCTATTCCATTTATTTCTTAAGATATTTTTAACTCCTTTCCTGGATTGTTTTGTTCTATGTTGTTGAAACAGCTGTGTAATTTCTCAGTTACAACAGGCCACCTAACTCAGGAGTGTGAAAACAGTTTTTCGGTAACTTTGCATAACTCTTTTGATTTTGAGTCCATATTTGCAATAACAGCAGAAAATTCAGAGACTGAAGCTCATCAAGTTAAGTTCAAGGTCATCACATCAACAAGCTAGTTCACAGAGATGTTTCTTTCTCCCCACCCCCAAACTATCAGGACTCAGTAGTCCTAGACATAGAGCATAAAGTCCCTATTTTCCCCATGCCTGCCTTCTGTTATCTCTCTGAATTGCTCCAGAGCTCAGTATGGTCATCAGATATTGAAAATTACAGATAATGCCCAAGTTCTAACCTGTCAACCTAACATGGATGGTGGGGGCAGGGGAGGAACATGTGAAGTACCACCCCTAGTGAAGGAGCTTTTGACCAGCAGTGGTTGCTGGGAGAGGAGGAGTCATTTACTTCTGCAGCGTAGCCACCCTACAAGTCACTGCCTGTGATTCAGTAAATCACCCATCACTCACCCTTGAATATGCAAGCAACACTAATAAAACCCAGGGACTCATCATAAAAAGGAAAGGATATGAAAGTAGCAGGAGAGATGATGGAAAGAAGGGTTCCACAGGAAATAGAAGGGGCTAAGATGAGGTAATAGATAAACATAATCAAAATGCTTTATATAAGCATGTGTGAAATTGTTAAACCATAATTAAAAAATATTTTTTAAAAGAAAGCTACAGGGGAAAATTGACTTGAATATGACAACTATTTTCTCCCTAAAAATTTGGTTCCAATTGATCCTTTGAATATATAGTCACTTTTACATCTTGTTCCCTGTAATAACCAATGAGCATTCTTCTGTGTTTCTCTGTCTGCTTAACTGGCTAGAGGAAATCTAAGAGTTAGCTAATAAAAATATACTACCCACTAACATCAAAAGCTCCCTGAAGCCATAAGGGAATTATACAAAACTTCTTAAGTTGCCAACCCTGTAGGGAAATTGAATATGGCAAAAGGGGAAATCATTGCTCCCATCCCACAAACCTAACTGCCATGTTTCCACCCAGCCCAAGGGAGTGATTGCTGTCCTAGGGCTGTGCCCAGGAAAATTCACTAATTCACCCACATAAGAATATTGCTTTATTCTCTGCTCTTTGGGAAAGTTTGGGATGCAGGGAGGTGCATCCACCACCATTTCTCTGCAAATCTTCACTCATAGAGAATTCAACATTCAAAACAGAGACTACCTGGGTGCCCACATCTAAGTGGCAACAGGTTATGTCCCCATTTCTACTGCAGAATATTCTTTGCTCAGTCTTCTCCTGATGCCTGTCATTTACTGGGTGTCTTAGTCAATGTTCTATTACTGTGAAGAGACACCATGGCCAAGACAACTCTTCTAAAAGAAGACATTTGACTGGAGACTTGCTTATAGTTTCAGAGGTTAGTTCATTGTCATCATGGTGCGGAGCATGGTGGCATGCAGGCAGACATGGTACTGGAGAGTTCTACATCTGGTTCTAAAGGCAGAAAGAGACAGAGAGAAAAAGAGAGAGAGGGAGAAGGTCGGGGGAGGAAGGGAGGAAGGGGTAGAGAAAGAGTCTGATCGGTCATGGACTTTTGAAACCTCGAAGCCTACTCTCAGTGACACACTCCCTCCAGCAAGGGCACACTTCCTAATCCTTCTAATCCTTTCAAAGAGTCCCTTCTACTGCCTGGTGACTGAGTATTCAAATATATGAGCCTGCGGTTGTCATTATTATTCACACCCCCGCCCCAGGACAAAAAATGGAGGTAGATCAGAGTGCAAACTTTGACTTTAGGGATTTCTGAGGTGGCTTGCCTCTGCAGCAACCATTTCCAACTAAGCCATTCAGGAAGGACAGGCACAATAGAGACGTGTCCCATCAGTACTTGAGATTAATTCCTTTGGGAAATTTCCTGGGGTTTATAAAACCAGGTAGGGAAAAACTTGCCTCAAGCAATGGATGGGACAACTTCTTGGAAGGTAAATAA